GTAAACCCTCCGCGTAAATTATAGTCACGGAAATCCTCTCTCCAAACGATAAGTTGATTAAAATTCACAGGCAGCAAGTTCTGCGGCGGTCGGGAATTCACCAAATACTCCGGAGCATCAAACACGATACCGAGACTAGTCACATCTGGACGCGGGAAAGGATGTCCCGGTATATACTTAACAACGGGGGCATAATTCACGTTCACCCAATCGGCATCCTCTCGTTGTAACCGGTGATTGGAAAATCTTGCATTGATAGCGCTTGTCGAAGCGAAGGACTGCGCTTCCATCAGATCAAGGCGTCGATCTATTAAATCGAACCGCTTATTCATCGTCGTCTCGAGATTTTGAATTAGCTGTGACAATTGGACCGCAACTCCATTTTGAGCCATTAAGAAAGAAGAAGAAGAAAAAGGTGCAGCGCAGTGAAAGCGAGGGAGATGAGAGTAGTAGAAGTTTGGGTTTTATTCAAATAAGAGGGATTTTTTCGTAATTTGTTCTTATTTAAGGGGGTCGGCCGTAATTTGCCATATATATACACGTATATACACATTTGACACCCTATTATTTATTTATGGCCAAATTACGGCCAACCCCCAAGGCCTGAGGTATGACTAAATTACGAAAAAACTCTTCTTTGTTTGGATAATCACAGCCACCTCTCATTTTAAATATTTTTACATATTATGTAATTTGGTTATTTACTGAACCAAATCGTATATTCAGTTCGGCAAACGGTATGAAATGTTGGCGTGCCGAAATTTCGGTTTGGTATTACCGAATTAACATTCTTATATTACATTTGAAGGGTTTTTCGTAAGATAATACATAGTTGAGTGAGTGGCTCCAAACATGAGGATATTTTCGTAATTTAACCATAACTTAGGGGTAGCTGTAATTTGTCATTTACTTATTAGTACAAGGATATTGTTTATTTAGTTGTTTTTTCATGCATTTACACGGCTGGGATAAATAATAATAATAAGGGTAAATTACAAACACCCCCCTGAGGTATGGTCAAATTACAAAAAAAACCCCTCTTGTTTGGATAATTACATCTACCCCCCTCAACTATGATGTTTTCTTACACCTCCACCCTTATGGTGCCAAATTCAACATAATCATCTAGATTCCGTGAAATTTGTTCTAGTTTGTACTCGTTTTGTGTAAAAATACAGTTTCCGATGCACCAAAAACTGATATATACAAGCTAAAAAACACATATTATGATCATCTTGCTTCATAATGTAGAG